GGGGATGTTACCATAATGGGAATTCCTGATTGCATTTTCCACTTGGCTGGGATCAGATTTCAGGTAAATTTATATTTAGATGCGAGATCGACTCACAACACACCTGTACAGTACAGTATACCTGTGTAGCAGGCTTGTATAGTACACCTACATAGTACACCTGTATAGCACACCTGTATTTTCTGCCAATACATACTAAGCCCGGATCTAAACCTTCATGGCGTATAAAAAATTGCATGGTAAACCCTTAGCCTGATTCTTTTTCGGTCTGCAAAATTGCAGCTGCAGGTTGCTTAATTTTTCCTCAGTCTGCTATATTGAAAATGTCTCTGCAAAATGCAGACTGCAGATGGGTATTTCCAACACTGAGAAGCCATTTAGAACCACTCAGCTGAACATTTCTTACTGAGCCCAACATTTTCTTCGGATTTCTGCAGCACAATTTTCTCCCCAGGTGGCTCCTATCTTACTGAGCCAAACATTCACTCAGGATTTCTGCCATCATATACAGATCCTTTAGCAGTAGGGAATAATTTGCCACATGTACATGAGGTACAAACAGCAACCAAGAGTGTCTTAGTTTAGGCAGGAGTTGATAGAGCACATTATGTAGATAGTTGATGGGCACATGTGGTGTTAAGTGTTTCAAAATGTAAAATTTAGGCATTAATGTTAACGTTTCAATTTTGATATAGTTGCATGATGTAGTGGTGTGTTACGCCGAAAGGCAGTTATACCGGCTGTACAGATACAGAAGCTAGTGTGTTACGCCGAAGGGCGGTTATACCGGCTATACAGATACAGAAGCTGGTGTGTTACGCCGAAAGGCAGTTATACCGGCTGTACAGATACAGAAGCTAGTGTGTTACGCCGAAGGGCGGTTATACCGGCTATACAGATACAGAAGCTGGTGTGTTACACCGAAGGGCGGTTATACCGGCTATACAGATACAGAAGCTGGTGTGTTACGCCGAAGGGCGGTTATACCGGCTATACAGATACAGAAGCTGGTGTGTTACGCCGAAGGGCGGTTATACCGGCTATACAGATACAGATGTATCATACATGTATGTCTAACTCCAGGAAGACTAGCTACATACTTGTATGTATTAAATTTTGTATGTTTGCTAATGTAGGAAGACTAGCTACATACTTGTATGTATTTGTATGTTTGCTAATGTAGGAAGACTAGCTACATACTTGTATGTATTTGTATGTTTGCTAATGTAGGAAGACTAGCTAGTACTTGTATGTATTTGTATGTTTGCTAATGTAGGAAGACTAGCTACATACTTGTATGTATTTGTATGTTTGCTAATGTAGGAAGACTAGCTACATACTTGTATGTATTTGTATGTTTGCTAATGTAGGAAGACTAGCTACATACTTGTATGTATTTGTATGTTTGCTAATGTAGGAAGACTAGCTACATACTTGTATGTATTTGTATGTTTGCTAATGTAGGAAGACTAGCTACATACTTGTATGTATTTGTATGTTTGCTAATGTAGGAAGACTAGCTACATACTTGTCTGTCTGTTACATTGCATGTAGATAATGTTTCAGTTTTAAAGTAGTTTGTTGATATTAAGGTATGCGTAACTCCAGGAAGACTAGACATACTTGTCCATTTGTACTTGTATGAATGTATGTTTGCTAATGGAGGAAATAAAGTACCTAAAGCCCACACTTCACCATCCCTGGTCTCCATGCCTCCCATTTCTGCCTGCTATAAACACTCTCCCTCTGCCCTGTCTGACACCTACAGTCCCACTGAGAACCTCTCAGGTACAACTTTCCATTTCATGCCCGCAACTCTCACTTTCTTGCCTGCAACTCTCCCTTTCATCTCTCCTAGAGCACAACTTTCACTGCTGAAAATGCAGAGTCAGCAACATGACAAATTGCCTGACTTTGGCTCTCCCGGGTTCTGAACTACCATCAATAAACACCAAATGTTCTACTTTCCTCCAATAACCTGCAGGTTAGTGCAGGTAAAACTGTTCCTGATGTCTACCTGTGCAGGTGTTTCTGATGTCTACCTGTACAAGAAATAGCCATGACTTCAAATATCAGAGTTATCAACCAAGGATTGAGGTGTTCAAGAATTCATTCTTTCCTAGGACTATCGCAGAGTAGAACTCGCTGTCACCAAGTACAGTAGGGGCATTGTCATTAGGTAGAATGAAGGCAGCTCCCAAACATTTTATTTTAATTCAATTGTAACACCACAATACACTGGCCACCCAGGCAGCATAGCTGATTTCGGGTGCCAGACAATACAAAGATTAAGCTCCCAAACATGTGTATTAGCATGTGTAGTTCTGTGTGTAAATCATGTAAACCGAGTGTTTCTTGCTGTTCCAGCCTGTAGGTTGTAATGATGTGTACTTGTGTAAACACTACATGGACCAGGATATAGGGCCAGAAATAGCACCGGCCTCTGTTGATTTTATTACAGGTAAGAAATCAGCATCTAGCAGGCTTGACTTTTTCTTTCTAGCAGACTAGTCATCATATGATGATTCTTTATTGTATTGTATTTTCTTTATATAACAAAAAGTACAGGGGCTTACACATTGAAATCAGCTTTCATACTTTGGGTATTTAAAACTGCAGAAACAAGCCCCAAGATAAATCCTTTTTTTTCTGGGTGGTGCCCTGAAAATCAACCCAGTACTTAAATAAAATAACCATTTTTCGTCAGAAGTTTGGGCATTTTTGCTCTATGAATGTGGATATACATTGGGACTGTGCTGTTTCAACTTAGTATGTCGATAAGTGACTAGAATATTGGCTTTGAAAATTTTGGTTTTCAAGCCTAACACTGCATTGGATCCCTTTAATATTACTACTATCATATCTACACAGGGACAATTGTTAATCTGTCAATAGCAGACAGACAGCACTAGCTGCACTGGGACCAGCTAGGAACTGTTGAATGTCAATGCTGTATAATGAACTGCACTTCCTACAAACAGTCTTCACAATTAAACCTTCTGGGACATAAACGCAACGCTAACACAGACATAGAATCTGTTGGGAATAGAACCCAGGTCCCGTAGTGCAATAAAGGCAACGCTAATGCTGATCTGTTGGGAATAGAACCCAGGTCCCGTAGTACAATACAGGCAATGTCACAACTGACAATTAGCAACTGTTGGGAATAGAACCCAGGTCCCGTAGTGCAATACAGGCAACGCTAATGCTGATCTGTTGGGAATAGAACCCAGGTCCCGTAGTGCAATAAAGGCAACACTAATGCTGATCTGTTGGGAATAGAACCCAGGTCCCGTAGTGCAATAAAGGCAATGTCACAACTGACAATTATCATCTGTTGGGAATAGAACCCAGGTCCCGTAGTGCAATAAAGGCAACGCTAATGCTGTTCTGTTGGGAATAGAACCCAGGTCCCGTAGTGCAATAAAGGCAACGCTAATGCTGATCTGTTGGGAATAGAACCCAGAGCCCGTAGTGCAATAAAGGCAATGTCACAACTGACAATTATCATCTGTTGGGAATAGAACCCAGGTCCCGTAGTGCAATAAAGGCAATGTCACAACTGACAATTAGCAACTGTTGGGAATCAAACCCATGTCCTAAGTGGTTGATAATTAGTCTCTAAAGGGCCACCGTTAGACTGTTGAGTTGAGGAAATGTGCTTGTTAACGGCACTGAGGTTGCCTTTCAGAACATTTCACTTAACAATAGTAAGTTGCCAGAGACTAGAATATGATATCAAAAAGATTTAGGACTATTTGCCTAAAATAGTCAAAAATGTTAGGCTATACTATCAATGTTAGGCTATACTATCATAGAGGGAACTAGCCTATAATATCATAGAGAGTTAGAACTATAGCCTATAATATCATAGGTACAGGTAGAAATATCTGTGAACACACCTGTACAGGTAAACCTCGTGTGAACACACCTGTACAGGTAAAAACACCTACCAACACACCTGTACAGGTAAAAACACCTACCAACACACCTGCACAGGTAAAAATACCTACCAACACACCTGTACAGGTAAAAACACCTACCAACACACCTGTACAGGTAAAAACAACTACCAACACACCTGTACAGGTAAAAACACCTACCAACACACCTGTACAGGTAGAAACACCTACCAACACACCTGTACAGGTAAAAACACCTACCAACACACCTGTACAGGTAAAAACACCTACCAACACACCTGTACAGGTAAAAACACCTACCAACACACCTGTACAGGTAAAAACACCTACCAACACACCTGTACAGGTAGAAACACCTAACACACCTCTACAGGTAGATATACCTGTGAACACACCTGCACAGGTAGAAATATCTGCCACATGTACCAGGTTGAAAGCCAAACTAATAGATGAATAAAATAAATAAAAACACCTGTACAGGTACAAGCCACCCTACAAAAAAGACACCTGTATAGGTAGAAATACCTGTGAACACACCTGTTTATTTATTTATACATGTCCAAAACACCTGTACAGGTAAAAACACCTACCAACACACCTGTACAGGTAGATATACCTGTGAACACACCTGTACAGGTAAAAGCACCTACCAACACACCTGTACAGGTAGATATACCTGTGAACACACCTGTACAGGTAAAAACACCTACCAACACACCTGTACAGGTAAAAACACCTACTAACACACCTGTACAGGTAAAAACAACTACTTACACACCTGTACAGGTAAAACACCTGTAAACACACCTGTACAGGTAAAACACCTGCCACCTGTACCAGGTTGTACCTGGCCGGAAGTGTACCGCTCCCGGCAGTTTTAATAACACAGCGAAGTCGTGATTCAATGATTGCTGTGAGTGAAAGTGATTGAAAATGAAAGTGATTACTCAAGACGTTAGGACTCACCTGTAAGACGTTTGCTTCCTGATGGTAAGGTGACTCAGCCTGTCTAAGGATCCTCCTTCGGAGAACAAGTCGTCGTCTTCTGAGGCTACCACCGTAGGAATTCCGACCCCGATGCCTTCCGACCGGGCGCGGGTCCTTCCCCTGCTCGGGACGCCAAGGCCCCCGTCCCCGCCGGAAGATCGCGAAGCCATCGGTGAACCCGATCCGCCTCGTACTGGGCTGTACTGTGCGTCCAGATGGTGCGCACGGGAGCTGACGCTAGTGTGGTGTTGACCTGATGTTAACCCGTCGATAACCTGTTGTTAACCTGCTGTTAACCAGTCGCTAACTTGCCGCAAACTCGCTTGGTCCCTGCCGTCGAAATTATGCCCGCAGTAACTTGCCGGTTTCCCGATGGTACCGAAGAGCTCACGCTACTAATGTTGTGTTAACCTGCCACTAACCTGTCCTTAACCTGCCACTAACCAGCCCTTAACCTGCCACTAACCCAGCGCTAACCCGCTGTTAACCCAGCGATAACCTAACCCTGATAAATAAGTGATAACTCGCCCGGCGACACGGTATAACACTAACGTGTTATCATCAGTTCACTTCCGCCATGGCGCGCGCGGCATCATGGGTAACCCGCCCTGTGCAAACTTTCAGCCGGGCCGATTCAAGTTAAAGTCTTGTTTCTCGCTTCTCTGAAGGGAAATTATTATGATAGCGCGAAAGAAACATTCTTTTCGATTATGCGTGAAGTAGATTTTCCCATTTGAAGTATTTGAATAGTGTAGAGAATTTTATATTCCTTACAGTCTTCGATAAACTAGTTGTAATTAATCATACAGCCAACTACATTTGTACAATTACTTAACAATTTATTACAGCAATAAAACGCTTCTAAAACTCAATTTCCCTTCGTATTTGGGATTGTCCCTTGCTACCTTTTCACTGCATTTGTTTTTGGTTATCGGCCAACATCTTAGTGCTTCCAACATCTTTGTTCTTTATTACGTTCTGTTACATAACATTTATGTATTATCTGTATTTCATTTATATTGGATTCGTTTTGTTAACTCACCTTCTCATTATGTGTAAGTGGTAGCGTTAAAATACATCTTAGCTACTTGAGTACGCTATCGCTCCCCCGTTCCTTCATTCGCTCCGTTTCTTCATTGCTCCATTCATTCGCTCATTACTCCGTTCGTTCATTTCGTTAGTTGAGATGGAAAGAAGTTGCAGGGGATGGCAGAAAAGGACAGGGCATTTGAAAGGCCTGTAGCCACTGTACCTTAGTCTCCACCAGACTTCTTTTGCGGGGTGAATAAATCGTAGAAAACGGCCTATAAAAGCGGGGCAATGGAGCTTCTCTGGCCGGCTATCTTCTCTGGCCGATTTCTACGATTTATTCACCCCGCAAAAGAAGTCTGGTGGAGACTAACTGTACCCAGTCTCTACCAGAATAAATACGATCCGTATTCCCGTAGAAATTCTTGGTGGAGGCTACACACTGTACCGGCTGTCGTTCGTTATCATCCCTAATGGCGGATACCTGCGCCTGTACAAACATCACCATGGCGACGGCAGTAATTAGCTCTAAAAACCGTAATTTGCGCTGATTGGCTGATGCCTCAGGGGACCGCAAGGTCACCACAACGCAAGGTCATGCAGGCTTTCCTGGAGATTTCATTCAGCAGAAATCATGAATGAATAAATGAATGAGTGAGTGAATGAGTGGATGAGAGTGTGTGAGTATATAAGTGAGTGAGTGAGTTGTTGAGTGAGTTGTTGAGTGTATGAATGAATGGATGAATGGATGAAAGAATGAATGAATGAATGGATGAATGAAAGAAAGAAAGAATGAATGAATGGGTGGATGCATGAGTGAATGAATGAATGAAGCTTCTGAAGTTTGTGTGTGTGTTATCCGGATAGACGTATTTTATTTCACAAGCAACCTATATGATATTTCCCATAACAGACTGAAACTGTTCTTCTCCACACATTTACAGAAATTCGCCCCCAGATCAGTGCGCTCTAGTCTCCACCAGACTCTTTTTCAGACGGGAAAAAAATAGAGAAAATCGGCCTAAAGAGAATGTAGCTGGCCAGGGGAGTTGGCAAACTGGACCCTCTATGGGCAGCCAACTCCCCTGGCCAGCTACATTCTTTTTGGGCCGATTTCTACTATTTATTCAACCCGCAGAGGAGACTGGTCGAGCCTATTAAATTCCTGCGTCAGAGAAACAGACCGCGAGGATAGCCTGGCCATGGTCCCAGGGTAGGAGCGCCACCTGTCGTCCGGCCGTCGCAATGCAGGCTACGTGTGCCTGGTGGGCAGTTACTACACGTACGTATTCAACCTACAGGTCGTTTTCTACGTATCAAGCTGCCACCGACCGTGCGTGCGTGCGTGAAATTTGTCGGTCAGGTTTCAATATGTCATCCGCCAAACTCATATTGTATCCAAAACCGTGCCTTCAGAGGCTAAAGATAACTATGGTTAAAATGACAACCCACGGCTGTCCTGTTTTAGTTTTAGAAAAAAAGACAGTCATGAAGAGCACGTGAAGAACACGTGAAGAACATATAAAGAACACGTGAAGAACACGTGAAGAACATATAAAGAACACGTGAAGAACACGTGAAGAACACGTGAAGAACACGTGACGAACACGTGAAGAACACGTGACGAACACGTGACGAACACGTGAAGAACACGTGACGAACACGTGAAGAAAACATGAAGAACACGTGAAGAACACGTGAAGAACACATGAAAAACACGTGACAAGCGGTTCGTCCTGCCTCCATCCGGGCTTTATTGCTGCAACGTCACTCCTTACGTCATCAATATCTACCTACAAACTTAACTACTCCGAGGTCACAACGGGTTACCTACTGCAGGTACAATCTCACCTGTTCCCAGGTGTCCTCTCACCTGTTCCCAGGTGTCCTCTCACCTGTTCCAGGTGTGTTTAGTCTGGAGTGCTGCTACCTATACTTATACAGGTATTCTATGTACTGTTACCTGACTTCCTTGCTGTACAGGTGTGCAAGATCTTTTACAGGTGTGCCATGTACTGTTCCTGATCTGTACATGTGTACTGTTCCTGATCTGTACAGGTGCACTGTTACCTTACACAGGTGTGCCATGTACTGTTCCTGATCTGTACAGGTGTTCTGTTACCTGTTCTTACACAGGTGTCCTATGTACTGTTACCTGTACTTATACATGTGTGCTATTTACTGTTACCTGTTCCTTGCTGTACAACGGTGTGCTATGTACTGTTACCTGTTCCTATCGAACAGGTATTAACTATCCCTGTACTCAGTAAGTTCGTTTTACAATCTCAGCAAGAACGTCTTACAATCTTTGCCAGAATGTCTTACAAGAATGTCTTACAACCCCAGCAAGAACATCCTACAATCGCAGCAAGAACGACTTACAATCTTTGCAAGAACGTCTTACAAGAATGTCTTACAATCTCAGCAAGAACATCTTACAATCTCAGCAAGAACATCCTACAATCTCAGCAAGAAGGTCTTACAATCTCAGAAAGAACGTCTTACAATCCCAGTAAGAATGTCTTACAATCTCCGCAGGAACATCCTACAATCTCAGCAAGAATGTCTTACAATTTTTGCAAGAACGTCTTACAGTGTCAGCAAGAACATCCTACAACCTCAGCAAGAACGACTTACAATCTCATCAAGAATGTCTTACAATCTCAGCAAGATCGTCTTACAATCTTTGCAAGAACGTCTTAAAATCTCACCAAGAACGTCTTACAGTGAGTAAAATCGGCTTTCCCATTCGGGAAATTGTCAACAACAACAACAACAACAAAACCTTACCTACCACTTGATAGAAATATCGTGACTACGTTTCCACACGACACTGAGAGAACGCCATTTTCATCCTACCCGCTGTCGGGCCTACTTTAACTCTCCGCTCAGGCAGTCATGTGACGTTCTGTACACAATTAAAGACCGACTCTAGCTAAGTAAATCGGCCGTACGAAATCCGACTCTAGCTAAGGTTCGGCCGTACGAAATCTGAAGATAGCATCGTTCAAACTTACAACATCACAGACATCTAGACATTAGACACACAGGCACAGTCTGTACAGGTTCAGTCCTATCTAATGCTGGACGGGTCAAATAGCCAAGGCAGGCAGCGCTCGTATGAGGGTTGTCTCCGGTCTCCATGGCAATGGTCTCCATGGCAACGGGTTCCATGGCAACAGGCTCAATGGCAACGGTCTCCATGGCAACGGTCTCTATGGCAACAAGCTCTATGGTTCTAAGGTTTCAGAATAGTCTAGTTGGGATGTGGGGAATTCTAGTTGGGATGTGGGAGATTTCTAGTTGGGATGTGGGAGAGTTCTAGTTGGGATGTGGGAGAGTTCTAGTTGGGATGTGGGAGAGTTCTAGTTGGGATGTGGGACAGTTGGGATGTGGGAGAGTTCTAGTTGGGAGAGTTCTAGTTGGGATGTGGGAGAGTTCTAGTTGGGATGTTGGAGAGTTCTAGTTGGGATGTCGGAGAGTTCTAGTTGGGATGTGGGAGAGTTCAAGTTGGGATGTGGGAGAGTTCTAGTTGGGATGTGGAGAGTTCTAGTTGGGATGTGGAGAGTTCTAGTTGGGATGTGGGAGAGTTCTAGTTGGGATGTGGGAGAGTTCTAGTTGGGATGTGGAGAGTTCTAGTTGGGATGTGGAGAGTTCTAGTTGGGATGTGGGAGAGTTCTAGTTGGGATGTGGGAGAGTTCTAGTTGGGATGTTGAGTTCTAGATGTGGAGAAGTGGCCCTCATAACTTTAAGGCCGTCTGTAAGAATAAAAGGGAGTGAACAGTTAGTGCTCAGGTTAAAAGCAGGACAGAAAATATAGTATTAGTTGTTTTAGTAATGCTGAATGAAATTTAGTGTCGAGCTTTTCAAAGTCAATTAACAATCCACCACTTTGTACATACAAAGTAATGTGAATAAGAAACGTGTCCTTACTTTTTCAGCGCTAGTGCCTCTGCCTTTTTTCTCTGTAAAAAGAAATAAAAGAAGATTAGGTGCTGACAACATAACATCTGTATCTGTATAGCCAGTATAACCGCCCCTCGGCGTAACACACCAGCTTCTGTATCTGTATAGCCAGTATAACCGCCCTTCGGCGTAACACACCAGCTTCTGTATCTGTATAGCCGGTATAACCACCCTTCGACATAACACACCAGCTTCTGTATCTGTACAGCCGGTATAACCGCCCTTCGGCGTAACACACCAGCTTCTGTATCTGTACAGCCAGTATAACCGCCCGTCGGCGTAACACACCAGCTTCTGTATCTGTATAGCCGGTATAACCGCACTTCGGCGTAACACACCAGCTTCTGTATCTGTATAGCCGGTATAACCGCCCTTCAGTGTAACACACCAGCTTCTGTATCTGTATAGCCAGTATAACAGCCCTTCAGTGTAACACACCAGCTTCTGTATCTGTATAGCCGGTATAACCGCCCTTCAGTGTAACACACCAGCTTCTGTATCTGTATCGACATAGCCACCCTTTGGCATATCATACACCCCATTTGTATAGCGTTATTTTTGCAGACCCTCGTGTAACCCACCTCTGCCATGGCGTCGTCCATCTGTTTGAGTTCCTCGTAGTAATCCCTGGCATCTCTCAACGGCTTCACCATGCAGTCTTCTATAGACGGGAACAACTGGGGGGGCGGCACAGTTCGATGGGTTAGACCTCTTACTAAAACCTTACAGTTCCTAACCCTTAACTCTAACTCTAACCCTAACCTTAACTCTATCCACAACCCTAACCCTGACTCCAACTCTAACTCCAGCCCTAACCCTGACTCCAACTCTAACTCCAGCCCTAACCCTGACTCCAACTCTAACTCCAACCCTAACCCTGACTCCAACTCTAACTCCAGCCCTAACCCTGACTCCAACTCTAACTCCAGCCCTAACCCTGACTCCAACTCTAACTCCAGCCCTAACCCTGACTCCAACTCTAACTCCAGCCCTAACCCTGACTCCAACTCTAACTCCAACCCTAACCCTGCAGTCTTCTATAGACGGAAACAACTGGGAGGGCGGCACAATTTAATGGGTTAGGCCAGTCTTACTCTATTACCACCCGAACCGTAACTCTGAATCCAACCCTAACCCTGACCATGCAGCTGAGAGGGTGGCACAGTTGGGTGGGTTAGACTTCTTACTATACTAACCTTACAGTTCCAAACATTAACCCTAACCCTAACCCTAACCCTAACTAACACTCCAACCCTTACTCTAACTCAGTCTTCTATGGGGGTCCGCATGCCCTTTTCCGTAGAGGTTAATGGGCCATTTTTATTCCACGTAGAGCATAGACAGACTGCTTTAATTCAACGTAGAGTGTTATTGGCACATTTTGCGAAGAGCGTATTCGCCGTTTTAATTCTATGTAGAGCATCGTAGCCACTTGGAATTTATCGTAAAGCGTAGTCCTGGCCCTAACCCTAACATAATATGGAGTCTTCTATAAATGGGAACACCTAAGGAGGTACTATAGCTAACTGTACTACAGCTAACCCACAGTACTAGTCAGCTAACCCTACGGCTAACCCACGTTACTGCACCTTCAGTAACCTACTGTACTACGGCTAACCCACGTTACTGCACCTTCAGTAACCTACTGTACTACGGCTAACCCACGGTACTGCATCTCCATCTAAAACTCACCGGCTTCAACAGTTCATCCGTTACGGCAGGGAAGAGCTAGAAAGAGAGAGGAAGGGAGAGACGGCAGAGTCAGATCTGGGCTGGACTGGATCCAGGATACGACACGAGACTGTTCCTAGTCCTCACTCGAGGGCTACGATTGCTAGACTCACCTGCACTACAGTTCCAAATGTTGTGACAAGTCTGTCTTTAACTAACCCAGGGTTCTAGCCATCTCAAAATTTTTTCTGTCAGCCCAGGTTCATGATCAGACCTGGGGGAGAGTGCTTGCAATCTAGGTGGGGGGGGGGCCCGGGGCAAATTTTGATGCAATTTCCCTTATTTTGAGAGGCAAAACATGGTGTTGAGAGTGGATGTTGGTGGTCCTTTGATTGTTCTTATTTTTTTTCCCAAGATTTTCGTCAATTTTGTCCAACAAGGTTGACAGACTGGTTTAGAAATTTTCCATCACACATTGCGAAGTTCCTGCAATTGACAGAAAAACTGGTGCTGGCTAGAGCCCTTCAGACTAACCCTAGGGCTAAACACTCATGTTACAGTTCGACTCACCTTGGCTACCGTTTCAAACATGGGGATGAGGACGAACTTGATGAAGCCGATCTGAGCGGTTGCCTTGGTAACCTTGTCCCTGTCCATAAAAGGAGCCACGGGGAGGCCCTCCGCCTTTTCCCTGTCACTCTGGGAACACGGAAATGGGGAAAGTTTGGTAAAAATTCTGGTCTAAGGCCACACCAATTTAATTTCTTGTTTAACGAATTTTTCTAGAAAAATAATGGAGCGGGCGGGCGGAAAAAAAGTTAAAATAAAAACAGGCCTAGGCATCCTATTATGCCCCAAAATGGTACGATAGGAGCCATGAAGTCAACACACCAGGCTGGTTCAAAATTTAAACAATGAATTTTGAACTTTTAATGATACCACTGCATTGAAATATGGAATGACTGTAACAAGTAGTAAAAAAAGGCTGTTTTCAACTGTTCAGGGCAAAATATGAGCATTTTGCAGTTGATTCTGAATTTTTATTTTTATTTGCAAATCAGAAAAAAATGAAGCGGCGAATCCGTTAACCAAGAAATTAAATTGGTGTGGCCTAAAGTACCATTATTTCTGGTAAATAACACCGCATCAATTTAATTATGTTTACCTTTGTAGAAGGAAAACATAATTAAGAAGGTAAACATAATTGTTTATGATCTGTTTCTTCTTCCTCTTCTTCTTCTGCAAACAAATGACAAATGGCTCAGTAGTAGCCTAAACATTGGGCTTGGGTCTGTCAGTGGTGCTGAAACCACGATTGTGACAGTTTTATGTTTACCGAAGGAAAGCATATTATTTATTTCACCCTTTCTTTTTCTTCTTCTTCTCCAAACAGTGACCTCAATGACCTGAACCAATGTTGTGTCTGTCACCATGGTAACTAGTGTTTGGTTACATAATGTTGCCATTTCATAGTAGGAGGGATTTAGACTCCTGTCACAAGATATACATGTATATGAATGTGTTTGAGTAAGAATTAACAGAGCAGACCATGTGCGAAGGTAAACATTATGCATTTGCTTACCTTTTTAGTTTGTTGTTTGTTTTATTGTTGCCTCAGATTTGTTTCAGAAAGAAAATATGTACATATGTACAGGGCAAAAACAAAAAGGCAGGGCAAAAACAAACATCAGTTTCTCCATACCAAAAGCATTTCACCAGCCTCATTGTCAACCATGGTCATACAGGTAGGAGAGCATTGGAAGAATTTAAGTTAGAAAAGTAATGAACAATCTGCAAGGAAACAAACTTTTTCTGTTCATAGATATTTACCTGCATAAAATACTCTTCCAACAAGCAGTCGACCCAGGGCTCGGACACGTCCATGGGACGGACTTCGTTTGAGATGTCGCAACACTTGATCAGAATCATCTTCAACTGGAAAATAAACTTCGTTAGAGATTCACATCTTCAACTGAAAAATACAGTTTGTTAGATCGGTGAAGGTTAGACATCCATGTAATAAGATATGCCAAAAAGCAGTTACTCAAGCAACTGGATATGATTTTGGAAACAGTCTGACGTTTCATGTACAAAATGTAGTATCCATTACCTTTTGTCAGTGACACTAAGAGACCAGAGGAGAAATGCAGGTCTATTGCTTAATGCCTGATACCTGCCCATGGCATGGTGACCATATCATTTTTGATCATGTTGATTATTGATGATAACTAGTGAGAAATCGTGGAGAAACCAGCCAGTTTGCCTGTCCAAGGTGACCCCTTTTCTTTGGTCCCCTGGGTGGCCAGCTTGGACAGGTTTGACTGTACTAGTATAGAAATCATCTGTGCAGTTATAAATGGTTTACTAGTATTAACATGAGAGGCTACAGAAGCTTGGGATACTCACGGCAGCAACATGCTCTTCGTTCGCGTAGTCGAAGTTGTCGACTTTCTGTTTAAAGGACTCGAGAATCTCTCCGTGCCTCGCCATGTCCGTGGCCAGGATCAGAGTGATGATGCCCTGGAAAAACAACAACAACATGATAAACAAACAAACAAACAAACACTCGAGAATCTCTCCGTGCCTCGCCATGTCCGTGGCCAGGATCAGGGTGATGATGCCCTGGGAAAAACAACAACAACATGATAAACAAACAAACAAACACCATTGCACACAGGCCTCTTTAATGTATGGTGCACTGAAACATGCATAATTATCTAGATCTGTGTCTGAGGCAAACCTCAGATAAGCCAAGACTATCCAGAACCTTGCCTGGTCCTAAACCCATTCAGGCAGAGAACTAGACAGGCACAGTTCTGCATGGATACAACAAAGATTATCCAGAACCTTGCCTGATCCTAACCCTAACCCATTCAGGCAGAGAATTAGACAGGCACAGTTCTGCATGGATACAACAAAGATTATCCAGAACCTTGCCTGATCCTAACCCTAACCCATTCAGGCAGAGAATTAGACAGGCACAGTTCTGCATGGATACAACAAAGATTATCCAGAACCATGCCTGATCCTAACCCTAACCCATTCAGGCATAGAACTGGATAGGCACGGTTCTGGGTACAATAGAGACTATCCAGAACCGTGCCTAATCCTAACCCTAACCCATTCATGCACAGAACTAGATAGGCACGGTTCTGGATACAATAGAGACTATCCAGAACCATGCCTAACCCTAACTCTCAAACCTAACCCTAACCCATTCAGCAATAGAACTAGATAGGCGCAATTTTGGATACAATAGAGACTATTCAGAGCCATGCCGTGTTCTGGATACAATAGCGACTATATATCCAGAACCATACCTGAGCCAAACCCTAACCCATTCAGGTATAGAACTAGATAGACATGGTTCTGGATACGATATAGAACATATATCCTAGACAGACACTGTTCTGGATACGAACTAGGACCACGGTTCTGGAAGAAACTGCCCTCACCTGTCGAATCTGTTTCCATGTTTCCTTGTCCACGTTAGCGAAGATGTTGCAGTCAGGATTGCTCAGAATCTTAACCATAACCCTAACCCACTCAGACACAGAACTAGACAGGCACAGTTCTGAATATGAAAACTATCTCTAACCCCTCTCACCTGTCGGATCTGTTTCCATGTCTCCTTGTCCACATTAGCGAAGATGTTGCAGTCAGGATTGCTCAGAATCTTAAAGGCGACGGCACAGTGATGATTCTCCAGCGGTGAGATATCATTGTACCGCACCGCAAGTTCTGTGCGCGCGTTTATCTGGTATCTAAGGGCAACCAAAACAACAAACACGTTAGAAACATTAACTCCACTATGTCCAGCATTTTACGTGAAACTCCACTTTCTCATCGGCATTTTACCCAAACTCCACTGTCTCATCATCTAGCTAGATATAGGAAAAAATGTTGTGCTTCCTGTTTCCCGACTGACCCTAGAAAAAGCTGCCTTTTTTTGTGTGGATCCCTGCAAGGGACATAAATTTTTCGAGCTGATCGACCTTTTCTAACTCCATGATCTGACACCTGAGTGGTAACACAAATCCCTGCCTACCGACCCTAATTGTTTTAGGACTCTGAAACAGGAAACACAACTTTTTTTTTTCTAGACCCTATCTCTTATCATCAACACTAACGGAGTCATCGTCCCTCAATCTCAGACTGAAAAATAAATACCAAAATGGTACAAAATCTGCAACTCGTGGAAAATCTCTAAAAGTCTAATATGGAGGAAGGTTGCTAAATGATAAGACGTGGTCAGAAAATGTGGCTGCTGCAGTGCCACCTGTCAGAGACAGTTGGTACTGCAGGAGGTGTAACCGCCGCCGACCGACCGGCGATTCGGACGGGAGGGCAAGATTCGCCGGTGGCGGCGGCGGTTCAACCAATCAGCCGCCACGGCTCACCATGACATCACACCCAACATGGGCCGCTATTGGGCAGTCACAGGCAGACCGCTGGTTCCGTGCGGCTGCCACAAAACGGCCCGGAAATCACGGGAGTTGCCATGGTGAGCTGTGGCTTAAAACTTCTGACAATTTTTTCCAAATGTTCCATGAAATAATTCAAACGTGTTTCGCGCGAACCGAGTGCGTTATTGTCAATTTGGATGTTGTTGAATGTCATTGTTACACTTTTTGTTTAGATATAAGAAGTTTTGGCAAAGTTTCAGAATATCTGCCAAATTCCAGGCACTTACCTGGTCCGAGGGAACACTGATCTACATGTAGGCTAAGCATCAGGTGAAAAATTACATGGAAAAATGTCATCATGAACACAAGATCAAGTTCAAGATGACTTCATACATGAATATGTAGAAGAGTTACAAACAGAATTTAAAAGTGTTTCATGCGGCAGCGCTTGGCTGCAAGCTTCAAGACAGTCTGAAAACAAGAGACCAGTTTAGTCTCTGTAACACAAACTCTTGCTGCCCAGGGCGGCAATCTGGGCCACTCATGGCAGCCTGGAGACCAAAAATCCTGAAAACTGGGAAGGACCAATAAAAGTTCAGGAGTCACTGTCACCATGGAAACCAATAATGACAGCGGCAAACACTACTAACAGTAATAAACAGTTCTAACTCTTTTTTAGACAGTTTTACTGGCCACTTTTGCAACATGAATGACAGCAATACAACATTTTTACGACACTTTCTAACCAATGGTTGAAAAAGACATGACATTTTTACTTCTACTCGCTTGTACGACACAAAAGATGTACAACACTTTCACAATGGTTGTACAACACTTTCCCAACACTTTTACAACAGTTTCCCAGCGGTTGTACCCACGTGTTGTTGTATCCCGGATGGTCCAGATCGTGGCAGATACAGGACAGATGTACAACACTTTCCCAATGGTTGTACAACACTTTCCCAATGGTTGTACAACACTTTCACAACACTATTACAACACTTTCCCAACAGTTGTACAACACTTTTACAACACTTACGTGTTGTTGTATCCCGGATGGTCCAGATCGTGGCAGATACAGGCGGTCATGAGAATGCCGATGTCGAGTTTGGACATCTTGTCCTCCAGCTTGCATAGGTAGATCATGCCGTACATCATCTGGGTGACGCAGAAGCAGTGCCGAAAGTTGTGGAACGGGTTGTTCCGGTAACTCTCCTGCACACACAGCTGGGGAGGGGGGTATGGTAAGTTTAAGTTGTGGAATGGACAGATGTAACTCTCCTGCACACATTTCAGCTAAAGGAGTGGGGTACGGTTTGTTAGTTATGGAACAGGTAAATGTAACTCTCCCTGACACACAGCTAAAGGGGGGGGGGGTTCAAAAACGGTAAAATTTAGCCAAGTTAGGCACTCCAGTTCATTTGCCTGTCAGACTATGAATATGGGTGATGCACTGCCTATCTTTAATTATGTTTTTCTTAAGGAAAACATCTTGTTTTTGCTCTGTTTCCTCTTCTTCTTCTCCAAACAAGTAAGGTCAATGACCTGAACCAGAGGTCTGTCACCATGGTAAGTTGGGTTACATCATGCACATTGCACATTTGATGGTTTGTTCCGGTAACTCTCATGAACACACAAGGTGGGGGAGCCAGTGTACATCCTAACTACAAGCTACAAACTAGATTTATATAATATAGGCAGGTTTTGAATGACTGCAGAACTGCATCAGTTCTGGAGTACACCACAGTAGTTCTATAAGGTTCTGCAGAGCCTCGGGGGTACTAGATTATATATCACAGTTACACCGTAGTTCTGGATGACAGTAGTTCTACAATGTTCTGCAGAACTGCATCAGTTCTGGACTATACCACAGTAAGTTCTTAAACCTTCTGCGGTTCTAGATTACACCACTGTATTTCTACAACATTCTGCAGAGCCTGTGGGCGGTTCTGCTAGAGACGGATTCAAAACACTCACCAACCACCTCTTCAGCACTATTGGGTTTATGTTGAAGTATGTGACGAGATCGAGGTCGTAGTACATGTGCTCTAGGAGGCACAGCATCTGCGGAACACAAGGTCAGAGGTCAAGGTCACGGCCGCAAGGTCACAGAAGGTACTCACCAGCCATTTTTTGATGGCAATGGGGTCAATGTTGAACTCTTTAACCAGACTTAGGTCGTAGTACATGTGTTCTAGCAGGCTCAGCATCTAGGAGAGGAGAGAGAGGAAAAAAACATGCAGGGTCAGGGGTCAGGGGTCAACCGGGGTCAGGGGTCAATCAGAGATTAGGAAAGTCTGTCAGTAGCTAATCAGGGCTCAGGAAAGATTGTCAGACTAGTCTGAACAGGAGGTCTTTTCACCATGCCAACTTAAAAATTGGTAAAACTAACATTCAAACTAGTAGGTATATTGATAGGCTATAAAACATGAAATAAAATGTAAAAAGGTAAAACAAGAAGAAAATAAGAAAATACACAATAAGACGATGTGATTTTCCCCACCTCATTCGGCTCCCAGTGCCAGTTGTTAAAGGACGGGTTTTTCAGGTACTCCACCGTTTCCTGAGATAAAGTGTACTGTGGACAACATCGCAATGTTAATAAACAAACAAACAAACAAGAGCAGGTACTCCACAGTTTCCTGAGATAAAGTGTACTGCGGACAACATACCAACGTTAATAAACAAACAAATAAACAAACAAACAAACAAGGGCAGGTGAGATAAACTTTGCTCCAGACTATACTTCAACGTTAAAAAAAACATGCATACACACACCCACACACACTCACACAAACACTGTCAGATACATAAACACACACACACACACACACACAAGTACACACACACACACACAATACACACACACACACATACACACACACACACACACACACATGTACACACACACACGTCACACACACATAGAAAGGATTTGCTGAAGTGCCACTTACTTTCCTGCCACGGTGTAGCTTTTCGTGGAGTGAAAACTCTCTCTTGGCTCGTGGATTATTTCTGAAAAAGAAGAGAGAAACAATAAAGTAAGAGTAGACATTCAACACAGAAAGTTGGAACAGTCTACTTAAATTTAGGTAAGAAATTTATTTCAAAGGAAAAAAGTTCATCACAATATCTAAAAGTTGGAGTTTCTATGCAGCATAAATATGGAATAAGTATGGAATAACTGAGGTCTTCAGTATGCGAAATCATGAGGTTGAAGTTGATTCTTTAGCTCTTTCGCCTTTTAGTTGAACTGTACTCACTTGTTGGTTGTGGACATGATGACATCTTGTAGCTGAGTGATGTCTTTTTTACATTTCTCAATTTCACAAACTTTCAGACCTTCCACTGAGAGAAGAAAAAACTTGTATCAGTAAGAAATAGTTAAGTAATAAACATCATATTTAGATAGATGTGCTTATCAACAATGTTCTTAGCAGTTTTCTGATGGTACTATGCTTAACCTGTGTAACAGTGAAGGTTTGTAGTAGTATATCAATCATTCATTCATTCAATCAATCAATCAAATGGTTTATTTATAAAATAAGAACAAGAACTTGTAGCCATTGACAAAATTATGTCTTGTTGTACAATTTATGCTTTTAACTTTTATGACACAACAAATTATTATCATTAGTACAGTATTTGATAAAAACACAACCTGATCACACTAGTACAACAAACAAACAAACAAACAAACAAACAAAACCCACTTTCTACTCTCTTTTCCAGCATGGCTACCCTCTTTGTTAGATCCGCCTTCAAGTCGTTTATTTGGAAGCATCTGGAAAAAAAGTTAAACTGTCAAACTACGGCTAGCAAAGTAACACCAGTACATACAATGTATTATATAACACTACTGCTAGTCAAGCTAGCATCAGTGTATACTGTGTCAAACTAGCACTAGTAAAGTAGCACAGGTACATATCATATCATATTACACTGCTGCTAGTCAAACTAGCATCATTCAGTGTATATTGTGTCAAACTAGCAAGAACCAGTGAAGAACCAGTGAAGTTAGTGCCAGTCACTACATGTCATATCAAACTTTGGTGCTAGTCAAACTAGCAACGGTCTGTAAATATCATATCAACCTAGCAGGTAAGTACATATCATTCAACCTAGCAAGTAAGTACATATTATTCAACCTAGCAAGTGAGTGCATATTATTCAACCTAGCAAGTACATATTATTCATCCTAGCAAGTAAGTACATATTATTCAACCTAGCAAGTAAGTACATATTATTCAACCTAGCAAGTAAGTACATATCATGTGAAAAGTGTCTTACTTTGTAAACTGTTCAGAAATGTGGGTCATAACCGACTCAATCATCTCCGCTTCCGCTGAAAAAAAAAACATGAAACAAAAACTCATCAGTTCAATATTCAGCCTTTCACAATAAATAAGTTATAAAACAACAGTTTGGTGGCAGAAAATACATTCAAAATATCAATTCAACATTCAGTATTGCATGTACAATGCGAGAAAATCGCATTCAAAACGTGCATGTGTGTGTGTGTGGAGGCCTACTTTACTCACCCGCCGTCTTTCTTGCCTCCTCATATATAACTTTGTAGGGATTACTGGAACGGAAAACAAACATGTCATTCATATATGTTCGTGCAGGATTCATGGAAAGGGAAAAAATATTATTGCTTTTTTGAGAAGGTAGATGCCGAAATATGTACAGACAGATGAAAACATGGACGAAAAACGTCAGAACCGAACGGAATCACAACAACTGCAGTTTCAGCACTAGGGACAGGCCCAACGTTTAGGCTATATATAATCCATTAGTCGATTTTGTTTTGTTAATTTCACACTGGATTAAAGCGATTAAACGAGTGATTAAATGCCGACACAGCTTCAGACCCATGCCCACGCCCCCGGCTGCTTCCCCTAGTTCCACAGTTAAGTGCAGAATCGGAAGCTTCCAAAACACGGTAAAATTCCCGACATTCATCTTCAACCCACAAATGCACTTTACACACCGGATTTACTGCTAATACTTTTACGACATCTGTTCCCTTCTGCATTTCGTGACCTTCCTATTTCTTGACCTTTACTATAATCTCGTGACCTTTCTTATCTGGAGACATTTCCTATTCCATGACCTTTCGTATTTCGGGACCTTTTCTATAATCTCGTGACCTTCCTATTTCGTGACCTTTTCTATCTCGTGACCTTTCCTATCTGGTGACCTTTCCTTTCTCGTGACCTTTCACCTCTCGTGACCTTTCTATTTCGTGACCTTTCCTCTCTCGTGACCTTTCACCTCCCGTGACCTCACCTTTCAGAGTTAGAGGGCATTGCAGGGTCGATGGACACGATGGATCCGTCTCTATCAAGTAACCTGACGCCCGCAGTCCTGTAGGGAGAATATCACACTTGATCAGACTTCTTGCATCTCAATGGAATATTCTGGTGATGCTTAAACTAAATAAGTAGGACTCGTGTTGTATCCATGGAACGCGCTTCCTCAGGTCATAACATAAATCACAGAGCCTGACAACTTCAAGCCGTACTCCTGCACCTGAGGAAACATTATGGGCGTAGAAACGGAGGGGTGTTACCCAGTATTTTTTTATTATTTACTCACATATATTTATTGAGTACTGGGCAAAAAGCACAAGTTGCTTATATAGCACCTTCTACTCAAAACATACAACGAGTATAAAACACATTGACAAAATACAAGCATAATTACAAAGTGGGTAAAACCAAGATTACCCAGTATTTTATCAAGATCAAGAATAAAACCTACACAAAGAAACCCCCAATGATACCGGACCCGGCCTTGTTTTGATCGCGGCAGTCAGAAAGAACCGCTCTTGAGATCCCGCCGCTGTCAACAGCCGCTGCGTCGCCTAGCAACGCTCATCAGCAACAGCTGCGTTGCCAGGCAACGGCGGGAACCGCGGGAAACCCTCATCGGACCCCATGCCTATATTAGGCAACGTGGCGGGAGAAAACGTCGCACAAAGTACAGCCGCTACCAGCCGGTTAATTAGAGAACTGAAGGGGCCCACCGGGCTGAAAGAAGAGTCCCTATTAAGGGCTTTCTACGTTTGATCACTGAAGGCTCTCGCTAAAAAAACAGTTACTCAAGCAACTGGATATGATTTTGGAAACGGTCAGACGTTTCAGAGAAATTAGAGAACTGAAGGGGCCATCGGGCTGAAAGAAAAGCCCTGCCGGCCACAAGAAGGGCTTTCTACGTTTGATCACTGAAGGCTGTGCCTGCACTAACAGCCGGCTGCTATCACGACTGTGGATAATTATACCAACATGATTCGGCGTTAGTCCTTAGGCCACACAGACTTAATTTTCTGGATGATCCTCTGAAGACCGAATTAAAAAAAGTCCGACCCAAAAATAAAATGCTACTAAACCAAAGGAATACAAAGCTGGTATTGTGAATGTACTGAGTTATTGTTTCTTCAGGTGCAGGAGTACGGCTTCCCTGAAGTTGTCAGCCTCTGTGATTTCTGGTATGACTTGAGGAAGAGCGTTCCAATCCCTGACAGTCTGGGGAAAATAGGAGTATCTGTAACAGTCTTTGTGAAACGGTAGAGTCTTGTAGGAATTTGGGTTGGAGTGTCGAAATTGGCACAATGCAGGAATAAGATGATTTTGCCTGGCAGAGCTACTTTGTGTTGTCTTACTTTCTGTATTAATATTAAATATTGGGAATCTGCTGGCTATTCTATTTCTAAAGGCTTTTCTTCTATTTCTTAAAGTATTTGCTAATCTAAAGACGGTTTGTTCGTTCCTTTTCTGTTATGACTGATTGCTTTTCAAAAGGAAGCAGATGATGCTGAAGTCAAATGAAATGAAAATAAAGTGAAGATGAAGCCGGCAAACTGCGGTTAGATCTGACGCGATCAAACATGGCGGCCTTCCGTATCACTGGGTACACCAGCTGACGGGGGCGTTGGGAGAATTGACAGCTGGCGCAATGAGACATGGCAAGTGCCGACATCGCTGGTTATCGCAGTTGACGGGGATGTTGGGAGAATTGACGGATGACGCCGAGGCTGTCATATCGTATAATATCAAACATTTTGTTTGTTTTTGATCATCAACAGGGTGCCCGGAATTCATACGAATTTTACGGAATTCATACGAATTTTACGAAATACGTACGAATTTTACGGAATTCATATGAATTTTGCAAAATTCATACGAATTTTACGGAATTCATGCGAATTTTATGAAATATACATTTGATCCATTACCACAAACATTCGAATTTTTCGAAATGCATACGATCCATTACCATGCAGAAACACGAATTTTCCGAAATAAATACGATCCATTACTCGGAAACATACGAATTTTACGGTATACATAGCCTCTACCAGGTTTGAGGAGGCAGCTTGAAAGAGTAGAAATCGGCCAAATAGAGGGATAAGCATGGCAAGGGAGTTTGTCCGTTGAGAGAACAGTTCGCCGCACCCCAAAGAAATGGAAACATACCATTCTTGCTAATTTGGTGACCTGCGCCTTCAAATGAATTTTATGGTACCCTTGATACGTTTGAATACCGCTTTGGTTTGCGCTATGTTAGTAAAATCTCATTAACTCTCCTACATTAGCTTTCCGGAAAGGGTAACATGAAAGAGAAAACATGAAACAAAACCTGTTTAGCTGAAGGACCTGTTCGTAGCGAAAGTACGAGCGAGATTTCCCGCGGGTTTAATTTGATCAAAGCTTTTAAGGGAAACAAGCGGCGATTTAAACCAGCACCACACGCAAGGTGTTAACATCCTGAACTCGCTGTAAGAATGTCTGTCAATGCATTTTACATGTATTTAGCAGTCTTAAGAGGTGATTTTAGCATGTATTATCAGGGATGCCAAAGAATTCACACGAATTTTACGGAATTCACACGAATTTTATGGAATTCATACGAATTTTATGGAATTCATACGAATTTTACGGAATTCATACGAATTTTACGGAATACATACGATCCATTACTCCGAAACACACGATCCTTGCTGATTTGGTGACCTGTGCCTGGATCACCAAATTAGTAGGGATCGCATGTTTCCGAGAAATGGATTGTATGAATTTTGAAACATTCGTATGATGTGATTATAGTACACAGCAATTTCGCCCAGGGCTAGGACGATGTGCTTTGTAATAAACCAGTTCATCTCGTCTCTCGTGTTTACCGGCTGAAATTCCCGACACAGGATATGCCTGGGGCGAGGTCGCGTTTCCGCCAGGCACTAATGTGAACGGCTTGTGTAAAACCGGCATCAGGCTTGCGTTAGGGAAAACAAGAACAAGTCAGCTCCTGTAAAGGTCGTAAATGGGGACACCAGGGAAAATCCCACATCTTCTGTAAAGATGGCCAAGTTGATACCAGGTAAAATGCGCGAAATTCAGTCCAGTAGATTGGCTGTTTCACAGGGCCCATACAAGCTGGTGTGTTACGCCGAAGGGCGGTCGTACCGGCTATACCGATACAGATACCGGCCAGCTCCTCGGCTCCAGGGCCAACATGCCCAACGGAAATTATAATTTATACCACAGGCCTCCCTAATTCGACCCTGGCTAACTATGGGCCAAGCATGCTATGGGTCTGGCACCTACATGTATCATTCAGGTAAGTAACAACATTGCAAAATACACAAAGGCTGGGCACGTGCAAACTGTCACATTTACAAAAGTTAAACCATGACAGCCCTATTATCACTTACTTACCTATTAACTGCGGCCGCGGCTGCGATGAGTTCCTTAACATCGTGAGAAGTGCAGTATCTACTGAACACCACCTGGGGTAACGGCAACGGCACATTATATCATCATCATCAGCATTACCATCATCATTATCACCTGCAGCATCTTTATCTTCATCAGCAGCAGTAGCATTATCCTTCATCATCATAAGAAGCAGTTTTACCATCATCATCTTCTTCATCACCAGAATCATCTTCTTCATCATTACCATCATCATTACCTTCATCATCATCTTCATCATTGCCATCAGCATTACCATCAGCAGCAGCAGCATTAATACCTCCAATCATCAGCATCATCATTACCACAACGTTACCATAACTATCATCGACAGCATCTACATCACATCTTTATCATTTCTGTGAACATCATCAACATCATCGTTATCAAGCAGTACGTGTGATAAGACAGTCACACATCAGTGCATGGTGCTTTTATCGACTTTTATCGAGAAATCTGACTTGACTGACTCCAATGCTGATCCAAGGAAAGCCTCCAGTGTTCCAAGGTCTAATCATGTCTCTAACAGGCCAATACCTATCCGCCTACCAAATTTTATGACTATTGAGACACATTCCTGAAAAAGATTCTGGATAAAGCAAGGTTTTGGATACGACACGAGGCGTTAACGGTCGGCCCTCACTAAATAGTTGTTAACGATCGTCCCCCACTAACAAGTTGTTAACGGTCGGTCCCCACTTGTCAGACACACACCGCCGATCTTCCTACACACGGGATCGCGGTGAATAACAAGTGTCTCTCCCGCCGCCCGTGCTAAGGCTTCGGGAAAAAAATGTCGTGTTTCATGTTTCCCAACCGACCCTAGAAAAACTTTGCCTCCTGTGCAGGCTCCAGGCTGTTGGAAATTTTGATACAGCGTTTTGTAGAGTTTTTAAAGCGTTCTTTTAACTGCCGGCCATCCTACAACCAACTGCAGAGAGAAGGTTTCCATCCGCCCGCGTTAAAAACTCTACAAAACGCAGTATAAAAACTACCCACCGCCCGGAGCCTTCACAGGAGGCTAAGTTTTTTCTAGGGTCTGTCGGGAAACAGAAAACACAACATGCTAGAAATGGTCGATCAGTTGGATCACTAGATATTGCCAAAGTCTGACAAAAATGAAAAAAAAAAATAATAATAATCCCTACCTACCGACCCTAATATTTTCCGGACAGAAACAGGAAACACGACATTTCCCCTCGGCCCGAACCTGTTGCGTTATTCTGCCGGGATGATCGGGCCAAGTCAGGGCGCGACTCAGACTGGCTGCCGGGATTTACGCATATTAGGGGGGCTGATACGCCATTTGGTACGAGTATTACCGGGGTTGATACGCCTTTTGTTATGGATATTACTGGGGCTGATACGCATTTTACGGGGGCTGATACTCACTTTGTTACCGTAAACAAATTGCTCTCCCAGAAAATCTACTTATCGAAGGACGGTTACAGAATTACTGGAGCAGAACTAGAATTTCATTTCGCCATTCTTCAAACGCTGCATCTTCATTTATTTATCTTTATTCATTCATTTGATCATAGAATGGCTGGGTAGCCAATTCAGCTTGCAGAAGCATCTTTTCAATGGGTCCCACCATACATTTACACAGGACA